GCTAGTTATTTCAGCAATGTTGACACAGGCCGCAATCAGATTGTGGGCGGAGGCCCACCTCGATAAGAGGCTCACCGCACGGCGCGGCCGGCCGCCTCCTGAATATTACTCATTGTTACATTTTATAAACGATGCACTTTATGCAACCACTGCCGCCACCGCTGCCAGCCACCCAGATAATGAAAATTAAAATATCATTTGTATTTAACAGGAAAACGAACAAAAGTAGCTGCGGAGAAACGGAAGACTCGTTTTAAATGCACATTCAATAATACGTTGTTTTTACAAAACATAATCATACTTCAAAAAGTTAATTCGTTAAATCAGTCACATAGCCACATCGGTAAACAGTGGCATCACATCGGTCGGATAATCACAATAATCCCCAACTATTAGTGCATTCAATCTCGTATTGATTTGTGAAGCTCGAAATTAATCGTATTAAGCGATCCCATCAATTAATAAACAACTGCTCCCGGTCACGCAATTAGTTCAATTACTGGTAATAGATCTTGCTTTCATTGTTCGTATCGTAGTGAATTGAAATGGTTTTAATTCGTGACCATTTCGAATATTGGAATCTACTGATTCATTTACGTGATTCATTTCTAATGCTAATATGACAACATCACACATAAATCCTAAATAGGCAAGATGAAATACCTAACTATCACTCGATCCTACCACAAAACCAACTTAATTAAAGTTAATTACAGTCCAATACAGTAACCGAATACGAGTGGTACCGATACCACAAATTGTAAAGCGGGACGTCCACATAAACACCAGGTTCTCAGCGAGCTTTTATTGAAGTCAACCCGACCCGATTGTCGGTCTCGTTCTGTTTTTCAGCCCATTCAATGTTAAAAAACAAGCAAGAAGAACTAAACTGGTTAACACACATGGACGGCTCTAATAGCTCTCTCCATTGTCGCTGGCTAACTGGGGCGCTGCACACCAGGATATTATGTGGGATGCGGTGCGGTAATAGTGTTGTGCACTGCTCGGGACCGGCCTACGAGCGGCGGGAGCTGCACTACTATATTATAGAGACACCATTCAAATAGGACATTTATTTAAAGTGTTATAAAAGTAATTTTAATGGAGTGTTGCAAGACATCGAGTTTTTTTTAACGAAATATTTTCAGTCAGTGTGGGAATGTTACTTTGCAGTAAGTTGATATCGAATAGTGACACAGGATGTAGGTCGCGTGCCGGAGATGCCTTTGTTCCGACTGCCGCTGTAAATTATCTACATTCCGTTCTCCTTCATAACTCTGTATCGGAACAAACCGTATGTCTCACAATAAAACGGGAAAATTTGCTGTTTTTTGCACGACCGGAGCTTTATTAAATTTCTTTTAAGTTTGCTTGTGCCGCCTACAGCCTGCAATTAGTGAGGAAGTACAATTTAATCGTTATAAAAATCGTATCGATTCATGACAATTCCCACAGTTTCTCTTAAAAATAATGACCTGGGCTCTAACAGCCTAATTACTGTAATAAGTATAATGTTATTTAAATCACTGAAATTAATTTTCTATATTCTATGTATTTCTGAACAAAGTATTGTATATGCAAACCACAGTATAATAAAGTTATGTTTGACAAACCAGACCGTTCAAAACATTGCGTGCTATATTTTGTGGGCTATAAAAATATTTACTGCAGCCACAGGTGCGACGCGAAAAACCGCGATTTGGTGTGACGGCAGGGGATATATTGCCTATGTCGTTGAATTACGGTACACGGCAGCCCGAACTGGTCTTAATTGTCAATTGCTTTTGTGCCGGGAGCAGCAGCCCATATATTAATCTGTTGGTAGGGTGTGTTTCGTTTTGTTCCAAGAGTTAGTTAGTGAAGTGATCCGCAAACGGGTCGGTGCTCCATTTGGGTCATCTGGATCGGTGTTAGCGGGGCACGAGCTGCTGAGGTCGAGCGCACTCGTCCGCAATATACGACTAGTTCTAATAAAGTGTCCTTCAATCTACGCCTAGTTCGAGTAACGCTCGCACCAGATCCAGGCTTATGACAGCTTCGAGGATTTACGATCGCTTCCTGTGCGGTTATCATTTGAATTTAGGGCGTTGATCTCTCGTACGACGACGGTGTCAAGTTGCGATGAATTATCATGCATGCTAAAATATGTACATACCGTACTCGTAGGGTGTAAACAAAAACAATCATGTTTTTGATTTTCTGTAGTAGTTTCTTCTTGTACAAGAAAAGGAGTAAACAATTCTTTGGTCTTTGCAATTTAATAACATGTTTTGTACATTTGTTTCAGGTATCTGGAATGATCCAAACTAAAAGACAACACATCAGACCCCCCGATCGGATGTCTAGGTGAGTCGACATTTAATATTTTCTCACATAAATGCTTATTACATTATGATACAAAGAACTCTGTAGGTACAATACAATAAGCTTTCCTACGCGATCATTTTACAATAGAAATACAATATAGTGCAGGTGATATTGAGTGTGTAACGAAATAAGTCGGGTCTGCTAACCCGAGCCAGTCGTGAGCATAAACCGTAACTCGAGCAAAATAAAATGGATAAAGTTTAAAGGTACGCTTATCAGTTGCCACAGTTTCAAGATACGGTATCAGAGAGGCGGAGGGGCGCGGACGGCTGCGCCGGCCCTCGACACTCACTGAACACGCATTTGCATAAGATTTTTGCAATTTTATTCCGCATACAAAAACAGAATCAGCATTTTACGACTTACTTATGCCTTTATACATAAGAACTTTTATTTTTTCGTTTCATATTGCTAGTTTTATGTATCTCTCGACGAAATAGAATACACTTCACGACAACATGTTTCGTTATCGACAAAATTCGAAGTTTATATTACCACCCGAAACTAGCGCAGTAATAAAGTGAACCATAAAATAAGTAATAACGAAAACAGCAGTCGATAATATTTGTTTAATATTTCGTGTTAGGAAAATTTGACAAAACATTTTGAAATGAAAAAGGGTAATGCCCCATTATACCTAACAATATCCAACAATTACATCAGTTTCATCACATTTTCTAATAAACTAAACATGCATAAGAAAATTTGGTCGGATACTGTCTACAGATTGTAGATTTACATCCAGAAACTGTCATAAAATCATTACCAGGCAATATAGAGGCAATTGGAAAACAATTTCCGCATCAGCCACAGCGTAGCGTCTCGTGTGAACACGTCGCGGCGGCGCTTTGCTTATACACCTCGTCGCCTTACTGGCACAACTAGACACAGGCCGGCACAGGCCGACACATGCCGGCGAAACTCCACTGTGTTTATATAGTTACGTGTTCAATCACAATCTTGTGATGCCAATACAATTTACGACGGACGCTACGTCGACAAGTGCAACCGGGCTAATGGCGGCATCGCGTGCTCTTCCGAATTATCACTCGCGTTATACGCTATATTACATGACAAAGTGAAAGCTCACGACTAATATCGCTTGTAATCCACTTAAAAGTTCACAATGTTGCCCCTTCGTACGTAACTCCGAACAGGCATGCTAACTTTGTGAATGAACGGTCGAATACATTTAGCAATGTGTAACATGACACAGGTAATGTAATTGAAACTATTCTTCGTGATTCTTTTCCCGGGTTAATTAATTAAATAGAAAATTATCACAAACAAACACTATTGCGTGATATTAAAGTAGCAATGTAGATAACTACCCAAAAAAACATACGTAACTCTTTCAAGCGAAAATATACTTTATGTAAAAGTACATAAAAGTGTAGGTTTTCTTCGACATCCAACAGAAGGCTCTAAATGACTTACATTACACCGGTTCCCCGGGATATATGGCTGTCAATGGTGAACACTTATGAAGACGACGAGCGAAATGGCCAGATTAAGGCAGAAACATCCTGTGTTATCTACTTTTTCGTCCCTCTTACGTTAATTCTATTACGAAAATATGAGCAAGGTAAAAGCATGACATTGTATTATGTATTCTTTAGGATAAAATGGAAAATGAACAAATATTACGATATTTGACTGTAGTGCCAACCTAACAAATGTTATTATTAGCAGTATTACAGAAATTACAATTCATTACTAATCGATTACGATTATCACAAGTAGGAAAACTCGTTAAATATGTACATCAATAAATATAAATAAGGTAATTACAGTGTCGACAGTTTGTCTAAGAAAACTGGCAACTATTTCCCTCGGTTCGCGTCGCAGTGAAGCAGCTCATAAATCCAGGCCCGCTCATTGTGTACCTATCGCAGTTGATGTCGCAATTTAGAAGCTTTGCAACACGCGCCGGCGCTGAAATAATGTCGACTGGCCATCAATCAAGTTCTTTGCCAAATAGATCGCTGATTAAATTGTTAAATTACTGCATTAAATCCTCCACGGAGTTGTCAAGTCGACATTACATTGATTCGAAGTTTATCTGGCTCAAGGTGACATATTGTTTCCGTTTTCTTTGAGGAAATATTTATAGTTTTAAATAAACTGTAGCAATTTACCGTGAAATGTATTGTAAAATGTTTATTTATTTCTTAAGGTTAAAATTGATAAACCAACCTGTTCTTTAAATTTCCAAATATTAAATTTGAGATCGATTTCTAGTTAGAAACAGAAAGCTTTTTACTAAATACAAGAAGTAACGTTTTAAGTTAAAGCAAGTTAAAATATAGCAAGAGGTATCCGTAATCATCAGAATAAGTAAGTAGGTCCATAAATATTGTCAAAATTTTAAACCGAAATACAAAATATTAAGGGTATATTGTCGGTTGAACTGAAATCCTCGCAACGGTGCGGAGGAACAAAATACATTATTTATGTAGACAAAAATTAAATTGAGAGAACGGACGGCCGGCATAATTTGGTCTATCATCCGACTAATAATAAATTAAGAAGAGCCTAAACTGTATTTAGTGAGCGTAAAGACGCGGAAAAGGCTCGAGGACGACTTGACGTTAATGGATGGTACGTTTTTTTTTTCAGGGCGTGGGCGTGAGATGGCACGAGCGGGCATGCTGCACAGGGGCGGAAAAAATGGAGCCGAGTGAGTATTATCCCGAACTACTCGTATTAACTGATCATTTTTCACATCACACCATACGTAGGTACTTCATCCTCGTTACAAGTTTTAGGGATAATATGGGAAATGGCCCTGTCAACGTGTAGGAATTACTTCCTTTTTGTTTTGACTACAATAGTCGAAGCAAAAACAATTTAGTTTATCATACAAATTCTCAAGGTTTCAGCTACACTTTAGAAACTCTACACTTTAGTACTATAGCTGACTGCGTCTGGCTATTCTATGTAATATGTATATTAAAGTTCCATCATCGTCATATCCAGCTCATTCGTTTGTTTAGCTAATGGCGCACTTCATATATTGTCCCCATACGGTTACTTTATTCTTCGCAATTGTCGGCCTACATCCTACTTTCTCTGCCAGACATGATTTGGCACTTAACGTAATTGACACAAGTTATAACATTCTTACTAAGTTCTGACATGTTAACTACATTTGCATCTAAGACGCTTCTTGCCGTAATCTGCGAATATTTACCTCCACTACGGCGCAGTCTGTTTGTTTATATATCGCAGACACGTGTCATGAAGGGTTTATTTTATACTTACTATAAATAGAACGGCATAAATATACATAAAGTAGGAGAGGAGCTCGCACGATTGCCCTTATCACAAAGTACTTAAGGGCGTGGCGGTAAGGGCGGGCGGTAGGGTACGCCTGGGCGGGCGGCAGGTGCAGGCCTGATAGAGCAATTACTTATTTTAATATTTTTAATGCCGGTCTCTGGAGGTATGCCGAGCTTTTCAGTGTCTGATAAAGTTGTTGTTATTATTCAAGGCCGCAAGAAACACCTCTTCAGAAATATCTTTGCCATCTAATATAAACAGCTGACAATATTCAGTGACCTACCGTGAAACTTTTCCATTTTACTTTCTTAGATTTCGCCTTGTAATATTGCCAACAAAATTATTGAATATTGAATTGTATTATTAAGAACTACACAGCCCGTTTGATGTTATTACTCGTTAACATAGTACAGACTCTGTAACAAAGGAAACATGATAGCTGTATCAGACACACAATTACGTTCATGGACGTTACAAATCGATAGATAAGTTACAAATCCCGTAGTCGAGAACAATAGTAAATAACTTGGTTAGCAATGCACGCTGAAGCGGAGCGGCGTGGCACGGTTCGGGTGCGGCGCGGGCACGACGCGGCAGCTATCCGTCTTGTCGCCTCAAGTCGAAGTTCGCAGACGGGTCCCCGGTGAATATTCCCCACGTTCCTTTGATGCGGTTCACGTTAATTAGGGATTTTAGTATTGCGATACCCGGGTAGGCAGACGATGTTTTATTAACGAACTAAAATATCTAGCTATCCGCCGCCATCAACCCCTCATTCGATATTTCGTTATTTCCGTGATTCGGTTGGTAATACAGTTATGTTGCGGATGTAATATATTCGGATAGTCTAGTTATTTAGTTCACAACGTTTTGGAGCGTGCAATGTTACAGGCTAACTGCAGTTGGACCGCCGCCGGTTAAGTTACTTACCCCTGGTTTCGGTGCAACTTTATCAATGCCAGAGAACACTGGCGGACCTGATGTCCGGTGCTGCCCCCTCTCTCTACCAGTTCCTACCCTCCCCCTAACATTTTCTCACCTCAGTTCGTACTCATCCCAGACTAACTTTAAATTGTTAGCTGCAACTTTGCTTCCCAGTTGGCTGAACTTTATTTGTACATTGCATACCTTTCCAACTTTTGATGACAATTTTCAGGAATAACTGTTATTAAAATGAAAGCTTTTTATACCGCAAGTTAGTTCCATTTGTGTTATTGGCTGTTCATTCAATGAAAGCAAATGTACCTATACATCTATCATAACTGTGTGTATCTAACAAAGTAAATTGCTTTGAAATGTTTACCTGCTATCAATTTGTTTATTAATTATACATTAGAAATTTAACAAGATTTATACATCTTATCGGCTCTATCAATGAACCAATTATCAATGAACTAGTCAGAAATGGTGTGGAGGATAAAATATTCCTTTAACGCTTTCTTATAGTAGTTGTTGTACGTGCTTCGTTTTCATAAGATACAAAGGAGTTCTGCACATATTGTTTCACGGGTACGCTCGCCAACCTGAGCGAGCTACAGCTCGCTCAGGTTATATATCGCTCAGGTTAAATATTACGTCGCGCGCCGTACACGGCGCGCGACGTAATATTTGACTTGATCTCGGCGGTGATCCGTCACGCACGAGACCCGCGCCTTCTCGCGCCTTATAATAACATGTTACTCCTTACAACACAGTTATAACGCTACCAACACAACGATGTAAAAGCCAACGTTATTTTCACAGCTTTTATGGCGCTATAAATGTTATATTACACGTAATGACTTTATCGAAATTTCAACACATTTCAAGGTGTTAAGCAGGCCTATAAGATTAAGCTATTGTGTTGTGTTCGCGTATGAATGTCAGAGATTTTTTCTGTGATATCTATCGGCATTAGACGATGCTAACCTTCTCTTAAAGCGCATTAAAAATGTTGCTCTATAAATTTTATTCGTAGTTGCATAGAATATCTTTACTGCTGAAAGTATAAAAGGTCCATTGCCGGTGCATTGTGACTGGCACAACGGGTTCGTCATAAATCAGTATCGTACTCCTACACAGCAAGGAAATAGCTCATAACTTTGATTAGCCTCTTCTTCGTGCAAGGTTTCACCTTCGCCGTTCAATTATGGGTCAATGCGGTACTCAAATACCTGCATTGTTCGCACACTATAAAAGTTACACACATACACAAGTTTTACAAATTGTTCGAACAATAGAGGTAGAATATGCAGACATTTAATGTCAAGCCCTCCGTGCCTAATGAAGAACCCAACAAGCTGTGTGTGTAATTATAGATTTAATCACCTTCTACAACCGCGACTGACATTCATTTAGTTTAATGGGAGATTAACAAAGCCTGCCTTATTCAACAGTACGGGATATTTTTTTAAAACAAGCACAGGATATCACGTCGTTCTTTCGCATTCGTAAAACACGATTAACAGCCATAAAAACACTACCTTTTACCCTAAATACTACATTACATACAACCTAAATAGAATATGCGATTAAATTACGAATACGTACCTATCTAAAGCCATTTTCTGTACCAAAGTGTATGGAGATTTCTTTACCCGTCCATTTGTTTACATTCCAATGAAGCCCAGAGATTGTTCTTTTTTATGGGCCACTCTAACAGGGGAGGATTCTTAAAGGGAACCGCATTATAGATTACTTTTACTGGTCGTTTAGAAGTGGGTCAGTGTCCCGTAAAAGTTTCCGCGAATGTGGTCCGCCAGCCGCATTACCGCAGCAGATCAAAGCTGCCGGCTCTCCACACGATGACCCTTCAATCCATGAGACTCTCTAAAAATCATGCGTTTGTTTTATCCCCTTGCCACACAGCGACATATCCGTAGTCGTCCAAGTTTACAATATAAAGTCATATCTGAAACAAACATCATGCCGTCACCGGTGTTGCTTGAAATCTCTTATTGGAATTGCACACCAGGTTCTAAACGATAGCACACCTAATTATTTTCAGAGCTTACCCAAACAAACCTCTAAGTAGGGAGGGAGTGCGGGGCGCGCGGTGCGGGCGGCGGCGGTGTGGTATCTCGCGCCGTACCTACCTCGTCTAGACGGCAACTTCATGTAAATAAATACGTAAACCTTAGGACACATTCGAATTTTGACCGACCAACATTAAATGCATAATTTACACTTTAATTAGGAACTCAAAGGGTCACTGTCATTACTTACCTGAATTAGTATTCTCTACGGGTCTTGCACCCTCGACGACAACGAAAAACTAATTTTGATAAATGCAATTTGGAGTAATTAAGTTGGATGGCTCATAATGTTGTTGATTAATTTAAGCTGGAACCTTGATGCACGAAGCGCGCGCGTAGGGAACAAGCCTTTGATGTGTATTTATTTACAAAACGCTACCAGGAAAGTGATGGATATCTGTCATCTCGGTGAGACGGAGCCGCTCGCGAGGTTCGCGCCGCGCGATGCAAATTCTGTCGAGTCACCCGGAAAGCAATTACCGAGTCTAAGCGCCCGCTCGTTCTTCTGCACTGCTTACCATAAATCAATGGGAACGTAGATACACTGCGACACGAGTATGTTATATCAAGATGTTCTACACACACACTATTGTGCCTTCACGTGTTAGTTCCAACCGTATCATGAAGGACCGAGTACTTTTCCTGAACTAAAGATGTTTCATTACTATAAATTGTATTTTTTCCGCATACTTAGATTAAGGACAAAGGATTCTCTTGACCTTCTCTTCTCTTAACTATGCTGTTCTAGGAACTTTCTTGAATGGTGGTGTCTTTGTTCACCATTTCTAAGAATAGGGCGAATATATCTCTCAATATACCTACAATTCTCCATGGTAAAATTATTAGAAATGCCAATGTACGCAGTTACTTAAGTTTAATCAAATCAAGGTAACAATCAAGGATTGTTACCTCTTAATTGTAATTCATTAAAATACAGAGATAGCTCTGAAAACCAGACATAGTAATGTGAACTTTAAACCAGACTTTACATACTAGCAGAACTAGTCTCATAGATTGACCTTTATTTTCATTAAGGCTGTGTAGGCGTGATGATTAAGCTGATTTGCCTTTTATAACAAGTTGGTTTTACATAAGAGAACTTACCATAGAGAGGCGCTAATGTGTTTATAATGAATAGTATTTAGTGAGGCACCGTCTGATACAAAAGATTCACGTTGCTTGCAAGTAAAGGTTGGTTCATTCTGTCCCAGCGGAGACATGTGTGCCTACAAATTCTTTTGCCTCGGTTAAGTGTCCCCGGCCACTGTTCGCAATATTGTGATAAAAGTAAATAAATACGCGCACAGAACCCATTTCAACAATTTGCTTAGGATTCCGTATTTCGCTCGTGATCGCCGCCCTTTCCAAAAGTCCGCCTAATATT